ATAATATCTCTAATCTTAATTTACCAACCCCAGCAAATAATTTTCTACATAATTTGAATCAAATCAACAATAATGACTCATGGTTAAACATTTCAAACTCAATTATCAAAACAGCAAATACCCATCTTAATATTAATTATCAATATCTATACATAAATACAAATGTGTTATTTTAATTATTTCTGCTAGCAATATAATTATACATGAATGGGTTTAAATTTAATCGTCAATATGTGTCATTAAATCATCACAACACAAATTCTCATTAAATATTTTCTTTGTTATTTTTTTATTTTTCAATATTATTTTTTAGATGTTACAAGAATTAATTATATATTTATATATTTATCAAGATGACACAATTAAATCAGGACAGAAAAAATGTTAATACTTTTAAAAATTTATTAAATAACTTTAAACAGTTCCTAGGTCAAGTGAAAAGTTTCATTCTAGTACCATAAAAGGTATACAATGGATTTTATTATTAAATAATATTCCTTTTTTTTAGATGATGATGAAAATTTTCAAGAACCAGCTATTAAAAATCTAAAGCTCAATGCGGAAGAAAATCATATGAAGGGTAATATTTTCATATATTTAATATTAAATCCTTTTTGAAAATATCTAGTTATGAATATACTAAATTCGATAGTTGGAGAGGATTATAATTGTATAAACAAAAAAGGTATAATAAAAAAAATCTAATATACATATTTTTTTAGATGATGGAGTTAAGACACCAGAAAAAGCATCGAAAATGCTAGAGCCTAATGACATTCGACCTTTTGGTAACATTTTTAAGATTTGATAAAATCAATTTTTTAATTTAATAGGTGCCCCGCCGGAGAGGACGGGCATGGCTCAAAATGCCGTTTATGGTACAGAGGTGGAGATAGTTGCAATGACAACTATGCTCCAGACAAATATTTTAATACATACTATTTATAAATGGGCATACTATATGCCCATTAAAAAATTAAGTAATATTAAAAAATTTAATGTAAATATTTATTTAATAAATCATAGCGAACATATTGATCGCATAATTAATTTTAATTAATATTTATATCGCATATAGCATATATTATTTATATTGCATATAGCATATATTATTTATATCGCATATATTATTAATTGATTTTTTTATCTTTATATTTACAAATTAAATAAAGGATTTTAATAAATTATTCTGAAAATTGTTTCTAACTTTGAGCAGTAACGTGATAATAGATAGTGCAAGATATATATGTTAATCTTTGATATTTTCGAATTAAACCTTAAATAAATATATAAATTTTTAACACGGCAAAATTGCCTTAAATATCATAGGACATAGAAAAAATAATATTTATTATTCATACGTCAGTTATAAATGCCAATTCACTAAATTTATTATATTTATATGTCAGTCATAAACGTCAATATCACTAAAAATGTAATATTTAATATATGCACGTCAGTCATAAACGTCAATATCACTAAATATTGGAGTATATAAAAAAATGGAGTATTTTTAAAACATTACACCGGCCCGGGTTTTTTAAAAAAAAAATTCAGACCCGGCCCGGCTATTTTTAAAATAGAATTTTCATGCCTGGCCCGGATTTTTAAAAAATAAATTATATTTATTTTTGAATTTTATAGCTAATAAACTATTTCAAATATAGGCTGTTTTAAAATATACAGCCCGGCCCGGATATTTTTTAAAATAATTCAGGTCCGGCTCGGATGTTTTTAAAAAATAAATTCGGACCCAGCCCGGGTATTTAAAAAAATTAAAATACGGTTCGGCCCGGATGCCGGGCCTGCAGGTCTCTGAAAAACATTCCAAAAAAGTACTTCCTCTGAAAGTAGATTGAAAGTTTTGGATCTTTTGAATATTCATAGGCATTTGACGACAAGCAAGGATGAGATAATTGAAAAACCTAACGATGATTGGATTTTACATTGTAAATATATAACATACAAAATACAATTATTTCTAAGAAAATTTTTGTGTATTAATTTATATTTCTAACATTTAAATTTTTTACACTTTATATATAAATTTTAAAGGCTCAAAAAATTCAAATTTTTATTTTGGGTCATTTAAGTGATTCTTATAGTGGTTATATTCACTTTATAATTTATAAAGTTTTTCATATACTGCCAGTTATATCCGTTTAATATTTTTTAATTCACATTTATTTTATAATTTTTTATATACCGGTTTATACATATAATTTTTTTATAATTCACATTTAAAATTGTGTATTAGAAATAGTTATTAGTCCTAATAAATTTATGCTTGATATTTTTAAAAAACAATAATTTTTCTTTAAAAAATTTATTAAATTCCTGCTTACGCGCCTGGACCTATTTATTAAATCCAACCAATAAAGATTAGCCAGGTTTTACATTTTTTTAAAATAATTTAGATTTCATTGAACTTAGATAATGTCAATAAGAAAAAGGTTTCACATAACATTATAAAAGCATATTTAATTTAAGGGATGCTTATAAATGAAAATCAAAGAGAAACTAGTAACAAATAAAATAATTGAAATCGATAGTAATGTAGATGACCTGCCATATTTGAAAGAATTCAAGGAATATTTACTTTATATCTAGACGGTATTATAAAACATTTTTCATATTTTATCTAGTATTGCTAGTTTGGGTTATTGATTGACCCATTTATTTGGGTGGTATATGATTATTTTTTAAACCCAAAAAAAGGTTGGGTAAGTATGAAACTCACTATTTTAAAAATGTAATTTTATATCTATGTTCTTTATTTAGATAACTCTAATAACTTTAACAGGGGATATTATATCCCATGTGGATCCACTTGATTATTGGAGAATTAATGCTGAAAATTATCCAACTTAGTCAAAGCTTGCATGTAAATTTTTGGGCGCCTCCTAAAACTAGTGTCCCATCTGAGTCTGTCTTTAGTATGGCAGGGGATATAGATAGTCCACATCGTAGAATATTGTCATAAAATACTGAAGCTCTCATATTTATTAAAATAAATCTAATATATTATAATTTAATATATTAAATATTACAATTTTGTAATTCATACCAACATATATATTATTTAAAATAAAATGGAAACATAATTAAATATATATAATTTAGCTATTATATTATATTTTTAATGTAATTTTTTTTAAATTATAGTCTTAATTGTAGAAATAAAAATATTAAAATTAAATTAAATGCATAATTCAATCTTTGCATAGAAAACATGTATTTTTTAATTTCATTTAGCTCAAAGGGGGGTGTTAAAAAATTAATACAAATATCGGATCAATATCGGTTCGGGTTTGAACCAATATCGGAAAATATCGGATAGGTGAAAAATATGTGGATCAGCACAGCCCTAGTTAAAACCTTTGTGCTATCTACGAGCAAAATCTTAAGTCTTGTCTAAAATTTTTATTATAAAAATTTGAGCTGGCCGATTTTAAAAATAGGCTTAAAACGAGCTATTTAACAACACTAGTCAGAGTCACAGCCTTATATTATTTTTAGATGTTCTTTCATAAGTTTCAAAAAAAGGTGATCTTGAGAGGAAAATGTACAATGTTATTTAATCTGATAATATTTCAAATGAGAGAAATTAGATTACTAAATTATATAGCATACATTGAAAAGACTCTCAATCAGAGTTGTTATCTTTGGGAAACCCCTTCAATTTAATAAAAATGATATCTCCCTCAATAAAAATATTCTCCACTAATTTTAAATTCCTAAAATAATTCCCAATAATTGTTTTATTTTTAGAATGAGATATCCTTTAAATTTTTCTAAAATCTTCCCTCCCTACCCATTACATTACAATTTTCTTAGATTTTGTAAAAAAAAATAATTTTAGATCCCATATTATAAAGTATTATTTTAAATTGCACAATTCCTCACATTAGAAACAAGGACACAGTAATTATACAGTCCGTAACTGCATTAATAAAAAACATGGAGATAAAAATAAGAGGGAAATAACCTCATCGTTACACCTATTAATTTTATAGTACAATCATTTTATCGACAAACTTTGTTTAAAAAGCCCGAATTAAGTAGATTTTTAAAAACAGCCCGATTAAGATTTTAGCCAATATAATATAATAGAAGCCTCGTGGTAAATAGAGGTCCAGACCTTTCCTCCTTTTGGAGAGCAAAATATTTAGGTTTAATTATTTTGTCCAAAATATTAATCGGCCAGTTTTTAAAAATCAACCCAAATCTAGCTTCTTAACAACATTTGACAAATGAAACCGAAGGGTTGTGTATTCTTATAATTGAAAATAAGTTATTTCTTAAAGTTATTTTAGAGGTTAATGGGAAAAGTTAATTATAAAATATTATAAGTTTGATGTTTGAAGTATGGCCCGGCGATCTCGTGGAAATATAATGCGGTATCATGCTTTATAAATTTATTCGCATTTGGGAAAATGAGACGCAATAGGGATTTTTGGAATATCAACATAATATTTTTGTTATAATATCCGAAACTTCCTATTAGGAGTTCTGATGGTGTCATATAGATAGTCACCTACAAAACAAAAGACAATGATAACGTTTGAATTTGTTTCCTGACCTTACATATATATTGCATTTTTAATCTGGGTTCCAAATAAAAGGCAATCTAAAAGAATCATGTATAATATACACATATATATTATATAACACATTGCATTAGCAGCATTAAAAACTTCAAAATCTATTATATTCGAGTTTTTTAATTCGTATCATATTCGATTCATTTTTTCAAATATGAATAATTAATTATTTAAATTAAACAAATTCGAAATATTGAATCATTCAAAATATTTAAATATTTGTTTAAATTATTATTTTTCTAATATTTTATACATTAATCGATTCAAATATTGAAATATAAGATCAGAGAACTAGCAGCGTATTATAAAATATAACTTTATTATATATAGGGTATAAAATACAAATTGACAAAAGTTTTCAATATTTAAAACAATTTAATAAGATATCTAGCATTATTAGTAATATAATATTATTATAAATAGTTGAACATTAATATTGATATAAATATAAACATTTTAGGCCAATTTTTTCAGCTTTATTCTGTCCCGCTTGCCTAAAATATAAAAAAAATAATATATTTAATTTCCTTATACATATAAAAATAAAGAAAATTGTAATTTACACACTAATAATTTAAATATCTACATCTCGATAGGTTTGTACTATGCTGACGCTCAAAAACAAGTCCTTCTATTGGTATAGATTTTTTTGTAAGAATTTATGCTTAAAAACACTTTAAAATTAAAACAAGATAGATCATATCTATCATAACTATCTATCTCTATATTAAAAATGAATGACATTATTGAAAGATATTATGTAATAGTTCAATAAGTTCGCAGGTTATATACATTTTATTGTTCATTCTTCATTCCACTATATATATAAAAAGTATACCTGCCTCGTATATTTTTATCTCTGTTTATTTAAAATTCCAAAATATCGACAATATATTTAATGGGGGAGTAGAGATCTATTGAATTCCTTTTAACCTTATTTCGTTTACACAAAAAATTAGTAAATATTTTTGAATATAAGCCATTCACGTTTTTTGACAAAAAAAGGTATAAATAAATACAATAATTTTCAAAACTCCCACCAGCGTTCTTCCAATTATATTCTTCTATGTAAAGAACGTTAGTTAGATCATATTTGGTAAATCCGATATAACAGCTTATGGAATAGAGAGCCTTAAAATGAGAAATTTTTCTCCTTTATTAGATTTTATCCTTTATTTCAATATAATATCAAATTTAAAAAATTAAATATTTATAAAGAAAAATTTTTGATCTCATTAAAAATTTGTTTAAAAACTAAACACCTTATTAGTAGTAAGATTATTTTACGATTCTCTTGAATATAATAATTTAAAGATAAAATTCCTTCTTATGAAAATTATAACTTTTGAGATTTAATGGTTTATATATTAACTATTATTGATCGAGTTATTTAAGTCAATTTTTTTGTAAAATTCTGATAAGCATTTTTTACCTATAATAAAATCAAAAATACATTGTGAAAATATTTACTTAGAGTAATGACATTCAAATTCTGGTATCTATGAAGGGTCTCACGGATTTTGGTTTGGTTATGGGGAATTTTACCAAATTTTTTCTCCATAATTTTACCCACCGATTTAATAGATATTGGTCCTTTAATATCGCAAAGGGCTAACAGAACCTTTTCCCTGAAAAATAAGCCTTTAGGTTTAGGATGATAACTTCTGTGAGTGGTGTGCTTATTAATTAAATTATCTCTCCTTCTATTACTATTCGAAAGCCTCTCTATTGAGGAACTCAAATGACGACTACTTTTCTCGTTAATGGCACTTCGAATGTCTTTAGTAATATCTGTAAAGCTTGTTTTAGAGATACTCGTATTTTGCAACGGAGTATGAGATGCCGAATAGATTCTTTCCTCGCATTGTCTCACAAGATTTCGGTTATGAGCATTGAGGTTATTATTAACTTCCTCACACTTTATATCGTTTAAAGATCTTATTCCTTGTACATGCGAATAATTTTCTAATATAATAAAAACATAACATTGTTAAAAGAAAAATTATACACACATTGTATATTATAATAAATAAAATGGGTTTATACTTACTAAATTCACTATTATTTGGTCCTATAATCATTTTGTGCAGATTAGCTATATATAAATAGTGAAAAATTTTATTAATATGATAAAAATATAATAATTAATTTTCAAGACTTTTTAGAATTACTCGTTCTAGAAAATTGTTTAATTTCTTCTTACATGATTCATATTTAAAATACTATGGTGATTAATATGATAACATATTTTGTCAGCCAATAAGACACTTTTGGGGATTTTCTAATTTTTATTTTACAGGAATAGTCTATTTTTTTTATATTTTATTTAAACAGATAAGGCAAATTATGTTTTTCGTGTAAATAATATATTTTCACTTTTTGGGAAACAATTTTTATTATGCATATATTTTGATAATAATGGTATTTTTAGTGAAGAAATTAGTATAAATAAACTTTCATTATAATTAAATATCAAATAATTCAATTTGATGCATTTCCCTACAAGCGTGATTTTTAGGCATGGGCGCTCGCCTTAGGGTGCAAAGGAGTGCAGTTGTACCACCCCGGAAAAATTTACATAAAAATATTTTTTAGATATCCGGATTAAAAAATGCATTTAAAAATTTTTTATAATCTAGTTAAGTTAACAGTTAATATGATTTTCTTTATTTAACCGAACTTTAATAATTTTTTAATATAAGTATAAGGAAATACATAATGGGATACGATCCTACATGATTTAACAGCTGATCGTTTTTTAGCCAAGATATAATTTTGGAAATTTGCCTGCTCTCGTACTATCATTTTAAACTAATAAAATTTCCCTCTACATACCGCCCCCCCCCTAAGACATCCCTTTCTCTCCCCAAAAAATGTTTACAAAGCAAAATAAGCAAAAGCTATTAGTTTTAAAAATAATGACTATAATTGAAAATGTTTAGAAAAGAAATCATTGATATATTTATCGTATGGTTTTTCCGTTAAAGTTTTTTCCATTTTAAATCATTTTTTGAGCGCATTTTTTTTAAATTTAAAGGTCTGATTTTACCGAAAATGTATAAAACGATTATACTTTTAACATACGGGGAAAATAAAAATTGGAAGAAAATATTATATTGATCCCTCCAAATTATTTAAATTCTTATGGCTAGTTCACTTTGTCGTCCAGTGTAATGGATCTAATAAGAAATTCTTATAACCCAATAGTTTCAATGAAGCTTCATAATTGGGCTTTGAAATAAGGAATTGCAGTTTTTAGACTTTATTGCCTTTTTTTGGCTTTTGTATGATTTGGAACAGTATTCTGAGAACAAAAAGGATTCTAATGATAAATTAACATACAATCCAGATTTAGATTGATCAATTATCGATTTATCGGTAATAAGTAACTCCTGTAAGTTTTTCAGAAAGATTACAAACATTATATAGTAAAAAAAAAATTAAATTATCAATAATGTGAAGAAAAATTGTCATCGTTACCCCTGGTTGTTCACGAACTCGAATTTTGGACAAAGATTTAGATATTTTAGCAATATTTTAATAAAAAAACCCAACAGATTACAATCAGCATTTAATATAATTATCAAATTTTGGCTGTAATATTTTATTTACCCCCCTCCTCACCCCTTCCTTATGCTTCCTGCATGCCTTTGTTAGATAGAATGTTTTATTTTTTCTTTTCTTTCGTTCTCCTTATATGAAATGAATGTTATTATGTTTCTCGTCTAGCTGACATATCGGCCACATATTAAATATTCATAAATAATCATTTTAAATATTATTTCATCAATGGCATCTCACATTTTTTAAAATTTCTTCTTTTTTTTTAAAAGTTATATGCTTTACAATTTTTATAAAAGTTAATAAATGAATCAATCGTGGATGACTTCATTTCATAAATCTATTCAGCAGAGGAATTAACAATAAGTTAATACTTATAACTTAAATAACACCTTAAATTCCAAAATTTTATAGAATATAAAATATGAATTGAAATAATAACAGAATAAAAAATCATCCCTAAATTATGTCTGTGACTATCAAATATAAAACTCCTCCCGTTCAAAAAACGCTTAAAGACTTTATGAAGAAGTAAAACTTTTTATGTTATTAATCTATCCCTATATAAAAATATAATGACCAATGTTAAAAGCCGTAAATTAAATTTTTTAAAACTATATTTAGAAAAAGTGGCTCATAGACAAAGATCTTGCTGAGGCTCGGAAGTTTAAGGTTCGAATCCAATTTTTTGAGAAATAATTGTTTTTAACTTAAAATATTGTAACTTATTAGAGGTTTAAGGGATTAATTGGTTAAGTGTGACCTAAATATTATTTATTGAAAATAAATTATGATTTTATCATACATATCAGAGAATTGCAGAGGTACAATTTGCGACCGGATTTTTTTTTACAAAAATTTTTTTCAGGCTTGGCCTGGGGATATTTAAAAAATTAAAATACGGCCTAGCCCGTGTACCCGGGAAAGCCGGGCCGGGCTTAGGGCTGGGCCTGCAGGTCTCTGATATATATATATAAAAATAATAACTGCCAGGTATCCTGGATGTATCGCGATATCTATATATTAGCAAAAAAATGTAGAATCAGGTGAATATATAATAGATTTTATAAAGAAATAATTATTGTGCTACATCTATAAAGGTGATTCGATTTTCGCAAAAAATTTTTTTTTCTTTATTACTTTTATACAGGCTTTTCCATTTTTGGGAATCCCTTCTTAAAAAATTTAAAGTTCTATCGTATTCAGATATAAGTCGTCTAATATTAGGTAAAGATATTTCCAATATTCGATTTGATGGATAATCAAGATAACACTTTTTAGTACCCCTATAAATTTCCATATCAATCAGCTTATATAGAATTATTGGTTTCCATAAAATGCTTATATAGATTTTAAAAAATTTAAAACTAGCAATTTTTTTTTTTCGTTCTGATATATATAATATAATCAAAAAAATTATGTAAACAAAAATGTTAGTCATCATTTATGATTTTAAGCTAATAATAATACGTCATTTCGCTAAATCTAAATAATTTTGTTTTTTGGAAAAAAAAATAAAAAAAAATAATATACTCTGAAAAGAACGTCATTGGTTTAATACTATATTGACTAGATTTATACTACACTAGAATCGCAAGATATAATGTATAATAAAATCACTCCCATTTTTTAAATTAAAACCTCACAAGCAGCATTTTTTTTTGTAATAATAGATGCCTTAAAAAAATCTCACCTAAACCATAAGAATCAAGGGCCCTCATTTTTCTCAAAACCAAATATATATATGGAAATAAGAGTCTGGCTTTAGATATTTTTGGGGAGAGGTCTTTAATTATAACCTAACGCTTATAACTTAATGGTTTTATTTCAAGCTCATATTGTGTGATCTCTAAGTCAGTTTAATGAGTGCAAATCTATAACAAGTGGGATTTTAAAAAAGCAAGTTCTCAATTTCTTAAATGGAAAGCTTTTTGGCCAAAAAATCTTTTTTATTTTGCTTACATTATGTCATATTGGGGAAACTGTCATCTAGAGAAAAGTTGGAACCTAAAAAAATAAAATAAAAATATAATTAAATACTAAAATATAAATTCTAAATCTTTATTAATTATTAATAATTAAATATAAAGCGAAAACATAACCAAAAATAAAAGAAAAAATAAAAATGAATATAAGAAAAAGTAAAAGTAAATTACTAAAAATTATATGCGAAAAAAAATAAGTTCCGTCACAATTAAAAATATCCTCAATTTTATATCTTTTTCTATCATATACATACATAGTCTGAAATTAAATAATATAATAATTTGCATAAGACATTTCTTTCGTTTTTCTTGATTTTGTTTTAAAAGTAGATTTGAATATTACAACACCCTTCCACTAAGATTAGACCCACCATTCTGCAATGACCTTCCCTATCTTTCAATTTCGACTTTACTGATCTTGTATCTCCACCAAATCTATTCTACTTAATCTTTAATGTTCTAACGATGGTTGCCCATTGTCGTATTCTTCACTTCTAATCTAAGGACTGTTTGTATACGATTACATCCTGAAATTCTGAATCCTGTCTCCTGTTTCTTGTCAACCCTTGGTAAACAATTATATCTTGATCTCTATAGACAATTGACGAACTCGATTAACGCCTGCTATCACGATTCACGATGAATTCTTTTAGTCTCTTTTTTAATTATATTCCGTTTTAAATTTTTTTGGTAAATTATCCTAGTCTTTGCTCGTTTCTAACGGTTTTTGATAACTAATGACGGTAAACGATTAACGATAATTTGTTTGCGATTAACTATTGTTTCCACGAATTCCAGTCTCTATGATCGTCGACTTTCTTATCTTAAACTTTGGCTATATTGGTTAGCGATTAACGAATGCAACAACGTCTTGACCATTTGTTCTATCTAGTCGCTTGTTTTTAACGTTCTCCATATAGATCTTTAGACTTTCAGGTCTTCTGCGACAGTTCTTAGATATCGACTTTGTCTTTATTATCAAGTCTCAAAATTTCAGATCGCATCTAAAATTTTTCTACCTAAAATAATCTTTTAACCTTTTATAACTTCTAAAGTATTTTATCACTAATTCTTACATTCATTCTCAAATTTAAAATACATCCAATATTTATATAAAATATATAATATGTCCACTTTGTCTTAATGTATAAGGTTATCGCTTCTAATCTAATTTTTCCTTACATAATCTATTAAATAGCTTAACTTCAATATACTTTTTTTCTCTAAATTAAATCTTAAAATAATAATACATAGTTAAAATACGCTAAATGAATTATACCATTATGTCAAATTCTATTACCCCTTTACCCTCAATGAAGCCCAGACCCATATCTTCCTTAAGCCATTTGCAGGTTTAGCTATCAATCCAGGTCCTTTGTCTACCATGTCTACAACTGAATCTAAATCTAAAATTCTCTTGAATATCTTAAATCTAAAAAAATTTTAGTTCTAAATTTTTACCCAAAAAATCCGCCTGTTCTTTAAAGAAAAATACAATACCTATTTCTTTTCTTCATTATGCGGTTCACGCCCATTGTTTAAAAACAACT